GTACTATAGATTTAGTTTCTCACATGCATCACCACTTCATGGAATAAAATAGAAGATATCATGATATTTAGCAAAGATTCTTCACCAGCTTCAGTTTTTTCATGGTTTAAACTGTATTTTCCATCAAATAATATTTTCAGCTGGTACTCAGGCATATATTTCTGTGAGGTACTCCTGACTGCTCTTGATAGATGCTTTCATGGGGGCTTTTCTACTTATTGCCGGTACTAAAGGTAATATTTGGTTGTTTTAAGTGGTTATAACATTCTATTGCTGCTTTTTTGGTTACTGAAATTACTCTACCTTCTTTCTGATGCTTACTATAGGAAAGCGGTATAGCCTTCCCAACTCAAGGATAATGATCCATCAGCCACTTGGTGGAGCTCAGGGTGGGCAGACTGACATAGATATTCAGGTATTTGACTGTTATTTTATTATTTTTTATTTTTTAAGGTATGCTAGTAATATCAGAGTGGAAAGCAATGAATCTACTATTTTGTTCTTATGAACATCTATGGATTGTGGAATAATTTTTAGAATCGGGAGTGAATTATTAAATTCTTTGTCATCTTTAGTTGGAGTTACAAACTAGAGTAGCACCCTAATCAAATTATAGGTTCTAGGCTGTTTCAAGCTTTGCTTGATTTTTTAACGAGCCGTGATTTAAATTCTAGCTTGGATTAATTTGTGAGTGGAATTATGTCAACTGAATTTCAGTTGAAACGAATCTGAATGGAGCTCAGGAGCTTGGTTTTTTGCTACAGTTCTTTGTTATCGAGATCTCCTTTACAAAAATATCCCAGAATTGGACTTTCTGAAACTCCATTTATATTATTTCTGAAAAAGAAGTAAATTTTTAATCTCTATCATGCAATTGAGTATGTTCTGGTTTCTCCATTACACCGCATTTTTTACATGGCATTGCTGAGAAATTTGATTTGTTATCTGTTTCTTTTGGGGAAAAAAATAAATATATTGGTTTCGTGTCTGGAAAAAAATGTTTCCTCATAGTTCATATTTATTATGAATTGTTACTGGCTAATGAAATGTTGCATCACAAAGCAAACTTAAATGGTTACCTGGCATATCACACTGGTCAAAGCTTAGAGAAGATAAACCAAGACACTGATCGTGACTTTTTCATGAGTGCTAAAGAAGCCAAAGAATACGGGCTTATAGACAGTGTCATCTTGAATCCACTCAAAGCTCTACAGCCACTTGCAGCTGCTGCAGATCAACAACAATAAACTTGGTGTTTACTTTTCACTAATTTATTGTCATTTTTCTACAAGTACTATGGGGTTTTCATTTTTTTTGCCACTCAGATTCCTTCTACAGCTAAAAATTTTGAATAGATGTTCCGATACAGTGAACTTCTCCATTATCAAGCACCTCTATGCATTGTTTTCTGTTTATCGTATTTTAATCTAACAAAAATCTTGTGATCTCTATGAAGCTTTCTATCGTTAAACATCTATGATTTGTCCATGTATTCAAAAGGTTGACGTTTCGTTCATTTACATTAAATATGTAGTTGCACAGCCTTCTTTTGGTATAGGGGCAAGAAATCGGAGTGTCTCTCTGGTGATCGTGCCTAAGATTTTTTATCCATTGTAGGAGGTCATTTAGTTTCAAGACAGCCTCCTGTTTATGAAAGTTATATGTTCCATCGAATCCTGTCAAATTGAGATAATTGTAAATCTCATATATTCTTTGCCATTTCTTTTGATACAGGAGTTCAAATCCCTATAGAAAATTTTCTGGAAATATTTCAAATGTAGTTTCAGCGTTTCTTTTAGCTCTAAATTTAATCTTGAGAATAAAAGTTAACCCTGCCTCAATAACCCAAGATTATTCGGAAAACAAACATATGATTGCCTTGTGGAATCTTCTGCAACATTTCACCCACAAGGAGTGCGCTCTGGGAATAGTTTTAGCAAAACTGATATAGAGGAAACATCTTTTGGCACACTGCCAAAAGAGTTGGACTATATTAATCAAGCTGTGCGAACTCGAACTCTTAAGTAGAATTGTGACAATTGACTAGGTTTTTTTGTTGTGCCGTCTTCAATTCAATGATCAGGAGAAGCTAGTGAAATATTATATATTGCCCTAAAGCAATCACTTATTCGAGATACATTAGAATCAAGTGCTCAATAGAAATGTAGATCTTATGACACTTGGAATGCAAGCTTGCATTCCTAGAAGATTTTTTTTAATGTTTAATTTAATTTTTAATTTTTTTTTCTCATGAAGGTTGTAAAATATGAAGATGTGGGCAACCGTTTGAGCTCATCAAAGCAGTCATTTTCCTCTATTTTGGTGCTGGGGATTTTCAATATTGTTGAGTACATTTGATATTTCATGGTTTTTTGTGAAAAGGGTTGTTCTACCTTTTTTTTTTTTTTTTTTTTTTTTGGCATCGGTAAATATAAAATTACATAGATCAAAACTTCATGTCAAGTACACCGAGCAAATCTGGGCAAACAAAGATCAAGTAACAAATACATGTACACCAGACATACCTGGATTAACAAATTGAAATGATGTACCAATGATAAGGACCCAAATGGGTTGTTTTCTTGATCAATGATAGAAGAATGGCATGGAGATTGGGAAATGTGGAAATGATTTTCATCTTCGGTGTGGGATTTGCTGTTGTTTTAGTTGTACTGCATGTTCGTGCTGTGGCGTCATGGGTTGAGCATCAGTGAGTACAGGGACTAGATTTTCCTTCTTTGTAGCAGGCAGATGAATAACCAGGGGCCGGATGCTTATGAGTAGATGTGTAGGTGATAATGAGCATGAATGCATCTATTAATCTGCATTTCTCAACTTGTTTTTGGGCGGAACAACCATTTGATGTGCTCATTTGTAATTAAGCCCAACAAAATAAGTTTGCATGTTGGAATTCAGGGGTTGCTGGTATGGACTAAACCTTAATCACTAACTCCAATAGCAATAAAATTAGAAGCATGTAAAGCAAGTGCATTACAATATTTTACGGACCTCGTCTTTCTCAGACGAAAAATACTCCCCATCTACCTTAAAACTCACTGTCGAGGTTTTCTGAAAGGCAAAGATCAATAAAACTGAGGTTGTGCTTGAAGTAATTCACTTAAAATAAGCAATAAATAATTAATTATCTCTATTGTGGAGCTTAGAAGAAAAGCACAATGGTGAAGGAAAATGAACCTGGGATAAAAATGATCCTTGGATTTTTACCCATATTTCATCCAAGACCGACAATCAGGAGGTGATACACTTTTATCATTTTTCTTCCTAGTTTCACAGCCAGTACTACCCTCTGCCACCCCTAGAAAATCAAGAAAATTTGGAAGATCTTAAAGAACACGATTTAAGAATTCTTAGTGATTAAACAAGATAAATGATTTTAGACTCAAAAAGAGATAAAAATGATCCTTGGATTTTTACCCATATTTCATCCAAGACCGACAATCAGGAGGTGATACACTTTTATCATTTTTCTTCCTAGTTTCACAGCCAGTACTACCCTCTGCCACCCCTAGAAAATCAAGAAAATTTGGAAGATCTTAAAGAACACGATTTAAGAATTCTTAGTGATTAAACAAGATAAATGATTTTAGACTCAAAAAGACTACATTTAAACATGAACATTTGAGTAGAATGAACTTTTTCTTAGATGCATGAGTTTCTGATTGACTTAGAACTTGAAGAGTGAAGGCCATACTCATCCATGACTTATCTCTCTTTTCTTCTTGGGTTTTTCATCATTGTATTTGCCAAATGAGAAGTGTTAAGAATATAGAGTTGCAGTGCGATTTTGACATTTTTCATTTCATAATTTATTATCTCCACCAAACGTACTTTAAATATATCTAGTCCTTGCTTTTTCTGAAGGAAATAAAAATTTGAAATTCTCTAAAAATTTGTATACTATCACCATCTTAATTCAGTGCACTCGAAAGTAGTAGAATTTTTTGCCGTGGATGTTTAATCTGTAGAGAAGACCTTTTAAAATAACAAAGTAAATGAACCTGCCTTTTCACCTCGGACATTTTGAAAATACGCCGCTTTTTAAACTATTAACTGTAAAAATAATCGGAATAAAGAACACGCATTGATAAGTCCATCATTTTGATTGGCCTCCAGCCTACACCATCTTCCATTGGGAAAATGTAAGACGAGAGACATTTAGTCGCTTACAAGGTAAGGTAATAAGCCAATTCATCGTTAATTCCAAGTATATAACTTTGTCATCTTTTGTTTATATTACATGTATGTATGTACTTCATTTTGTCAATATTAATTCACACTTAATGTGAAAGTTAAAAGAGATGTGAGAACCCAAAAATGGATCCATAAAATTCTTGAATTCTTATCAATCAGCACAATTATATATGAGGACACATGACTTATTCCAGAAGGAATGAAGAAAAAGAAAGAGAACGATTGGTCAGAGAAAGGAAACAGAAATTTCTAGAGAATTAGTTCAACGCAGCACAAGTAGACAAAGCTCCTGACCTATTTATGAAAGTTCCATTATAGAAAAATAGATGATGAATTTGATATGTACATATTAAAGATTATATGAATAAATTTCTTTTCCTATTCCCATATCAGAATAATTCATAGTTGCTCTATGAGTATTTCTTGTTCACCAATCACGCCCCATCTGTCTTCATTTGTTACCCTTTGTTTGTATGTTCTTTCTTTCTTCAAATCATATTTTTCTTTAATTAATTACATACTATTGTCTTGTTTACTTGGCTGAACTTGTTCGTGGATTAAAATATATGAAATGGCCTAGATGATTGCCTTTATTTAAACCAATGCATTTGTCCTTGCAATGGACATATCAGCTTTATCTTTAGTTTCTTCCTCTGAGGTGAAAGAAATGCATAAAGAGAATTCCTTGTAGTATGCCACTTACATTAGTTGGAGATAGCTTGATTAATGATCCTTGAGTGTCTGATAATACTCTGTGTGTGTGTGTGTGTGTGTGTGTGTGACTGTGAATGGCGAAATCATTCAGTGATACTCCAGATGATTGTGATCCCCTTATCGGGTTTGAAAAAGAGGCAGCAGTTACCAAGAGTCAACAAGATCCATTGTTTGATATGGAAGATTGTGAATTTATGGATTTGTTTTCTTCTATTTATGGCTCTTGTCAAGAGAATACCATGGAGGAGAAATCTGAATTGTTCCAAAATCAACAACCAGATAATTGTAAGCAGAATGACCACATGATCATGCCCTTTGAAGTTCAATCACAAGTTTCTGAACTTGGCAAATCCCTTAAGGATAAGGCATTATCATTTTCCTCAGCAGCAGTAGAGCTTGAGTCCCATTACGAAAGGGGTCTCAAAAAAACAAATGAAGAGACTTTCAATAATTTGAGAAGTGAGAATAATGTAGTTGGCCAGAAATTAACAATGGAGGAAATTCTTAGGGTGGCTGGAGAAAGGTTTATCCAATTTTCCATCAACAAAGAAGATGGTATTTCCACGTTTATCCACCCTTACGGCTCTTCTCTCTTAGGCCTTTCCATAGACGAAGCAAGGGATGTAGAACTTGTATATCTTCTCCTTATAGCTATAGAAAATGTGGGCTGTCAACATTTTGACTTTGCAAGTAAAATGATTACTCGTTGCCTCTTGATGGCGTCTGATTCAGGCACTCCAATCCAGCGCATTGCCTATTATTTTGCAATAGCTATTCGAGAGAGAATGCATAGAGAAACTGGGAGAATCATGACTGAGAAAACAAAGCAACCAATGAACCCTGTAAAGAGCCATGCTTTGGAAACGAACATAACATTCTTGGCATCCCACAAAGAACTGCCCTTCACGCAAGTGATGCAATTTGCTGTAATACAAAGCATAATTGAAAATGTGAGAACAGATAGCAAGATCCATTTGATTGATCTTCAAATAAGGAGTGGAATTCAATGGACAGCCCTGATGCAAGGACTTTCAGAACAGCATAAGCACCCGATCAAGCATCTTAAAATAACTGCAGTTGGAACAACCGATCAACATTATATTGAAGGAACTGGCCAGAGACTGCTGAGCTTTGCCGAGTCCTTGAATTTGCCTTTCTCATTCAAGGCTGTATATGTTACAGACATGAGAAACTTCAAGGAAGATCTCTTAAATGTTGAAGCTGGTGAAACTGTGGTTGTTTACTCCTTTTTGATGTTGAGGTCAATGGTATCAAGACTCGATTGCATAGAAAATGTAATGGAAGCAATAAGAAAGCTTAGGCCTGTCCTAATGGTAGTAATTGAAGTAGAGGCAAATCACAATTCCCCGTCATTTGTGGATCGCTTTGTTGAGGCACTCTTGTTTTATAGTGCTTATTTTGATTGCTTGGAAGATTGCTTCGAGCGAAGCAGTCAGTACAGAATGACTCTTGAAGGGATTTATTTCAATCAAGGGATTCTGAACACAGTTGCAACCGAGGGTCAGGAAAGAACCACTCGAAATGTAAAAATTGATGTGTGGAGGGCATTTTTTGAAAGATTTAGAATGATAGAAATTGAACTCAGCGAGTCATCTTGGTATCAAGCTAATTTAGTTCTCAGCCGGTTTGTATATGGAAGCTCCTGCACACTTGAACATAATGGGAAGGGAATGATTGTTGGATGGAAAGGAACACCAATCCATTCCCTAACCTCTTGGAAATTCGCATAGAATAAGTGCTGAAGAAGAAATATATGATTGAGGAAAAATAATATTAGTGAAGGTAGTCAAAGGATGCTTAGCCGTTCAATTTATTATTTTGCCTTAATTCGGTGGTAGCAGGTAAAAATCTCTTTTGTTCCTTTGGCCCTTATAGCTTTGTCAATACGTCCAATATGTCTAAATTACTCAACAAAGTTGAAGTGAAAGTATACTGACAGAAAACATTATTGTTTACAAAAGATGGGAATGTATACAAAACAGCTGTCTGCCATCGTTTTCATAGTAATTTAATTTACATCCTGGTGTATTTAAGTATTTCTGAATGAACTTCTCAAAATTTGTCACAATAATGGATTCACAGTTGTAGCTTGTCCTTTCATATATTATATTCTCAAACCTTACATCTTATTATTGTGGAAATCTTCCATTTCTAATTAAGGAAAACCATCTGTGTGGCCTAAATCTTTCATTAATCAATGATTTGCATTTCCAATAATAAGTCTGGCCAATTTAGAAGTTGCTGTGAATGGTCCAAAATGCCTACAATTACAGAAAAGAATCGGTGATGGATCGAGCTTATAAAAGAAATATTGTTTGGGTCCCTAATGCTATTTCGTCTATTCGTTTATAGGGCCAAGTATTTGAACATTGAAATGGTTTGGCCCAATTGACTGATCGTTTAGCCAATGCAAAAGATGAACATTTTGGATATTTTGTGGCCCAAGCCAAATTTATGATTATCAAATAATTAAATGGAATACTTAACATCTATTATGAATAGTTTTATATATTTCTGTGGATGATGAACTTCAACATGATGGCTTGAGCAATAAGTTCACTTTTGGGCCTTGCACTTTCCAAATTTGCACAAATAATCCAAAACTTTCGTTGCAAACATTGTGTTGTTATTGTGCCACTTTACTTGTATATTGCCCATTGATATATGCAATTCATGTAAGAACAAATTTTAGAATAAACTAAATGTCTAGTGATCCATATACTTTTTAGTAATTAGAGATTAGCCACATCTTTAATTATGCAAAGTGTATATGTTAAGTTTTTTTAGGATCACATATGGGAAAGTGACATTTATTGTAATTGATCATATTTTATATAATAATTTTATCTCACGGGAATTTTATTATATTTGTATGATTAATTAGGGTAAAATATCAAATTATAATTCTTAATTTACCCACAAGAATTGAGAAAAGGAACATAATTTGATAGTCTTATCGTAAAGATAGGTGAATTTAATTGAATTGAAACTTTAGCCCACAGGCAAGTTTTATGTCAGTAAATTCATAATTTCTGGAACATAATTTACATTGGTAAAACATGATATGAACTTATTGATCTCAAATTTATGTAATATAAGCATGTATATTTAATTTTTTACAGTCATGCAATCTGCAAATTTTTCTGATATCAATGTAACATTCTCGAACTGAGAGGGGACAACTATAAGATGTGGAAGGAGAGAATTCTCCTTCATTTAGGGTGAATGAACATTGATTATGCTATCAGGAGGGACAAACCAACTATTATTACAACCAGTACTCCAGAAGAAAGGACTATTTATGAACAATGAGAGAGATCTTATTCCCTTAGTGTGATGTTCATAAAGACCAAAATCTCTGCAGGTATCCGAGGTTCCGTGGATCGGCATGACAATGCCAAGGCATTACTGAAGGCTATTGATGAACAATTTGTGACTTCAGATAAAGCACTGTTAGCACCCTGATAATGAAATTTTCATCCTTAAGGCTCATCTATGTGAGAGGTGTGCGTGAGCACATCATGCAGACGAGGGACATTGCGGCTCAGTTGAAAATTTTGGAGGTTAAAATGTCTGATTCCTTCCTTGTGTACTACATACTGAACACTCTTCCGCAGTAATATGGACCCTTCAAAATCTCTTATAACACGTATAAGGACAAATAGTCAATCAATGAACTTCGACCATGTGTGTTCAAGAGGAAGGAAGGCTGACTATAGAAATGGGTGAGAATGCATCATTGCTAACACGTGAAAGGGACCAAAACCAAGGGAAGAATCAAATCCAAGCCAAACAAAAAGGGGAAGGTAAAATACCATCCCAAGGTGAAATCAAGAAAAAAAAAGTGTTTCCGTAAAAAGAAGGGACACATGAAGAAAGATTGCACCAAATTTCAGAAATAGCTTGAGAATAAAGGTAAATCAATCTCTCTTGTTTGTTATGAATCTAATATTGTTGATTTTAATCATAATATATGGTGGATTGATTCTTATGCTACAATCCATACTTCAAATACCTTGCAAGGTATGTGAAACCTAAGGAAACTAGTGGGAAGTGAGCAAAGCATCTTATCAGAAAACAAGGGTTCACATGAGGAGGCTATTGGAACATGCAATTTAGTTTTAAATAATGAGTATGTTTTAGAATTGAAAAGGACCTTTTATGGTCCAAATTTTTCTAGAAATTTAATTTCAGTTTCAAGACTTGTACTTTTGGGATATTCTCTTACTTTTTCAGATACATCTTTTATTTTGTTTTATAAATCTGATCTTGTTGAGAATGATATTTTGTCTGATGGTCTTTTCTCTATTAATTTACAACATAGTACTGCTAATAATGTTATACATGTTCACATTGGTAATAAACGTTGTATTATGAATGAAAAATCCTCTACATTGTGGCATAGGATATTGGGACATATCTCCATATATAGAATTAAGAGATTAGTAAATGACGGAGTACTTATTACTTTAGCTTTTGCTGATTTTGAAGCTTGTGTGGACTGTATTAAGGGAAAGCAGACCAACAAGTCAAAGAAATTTGCCAAGAGGAGTACAGATATATTGGAGATCATACATTCAGATATCTGTTGTCCAGATATGGACGCTCATGGTCCAAAATACTTCATCTCCTTTATAGATGATTATTCATGATACATGTATCTTTATTACTTCATAACAAGAGCGAAGCATTGGATGCCTTCTAGGTTTTTAAGGCAGAAGTAGAGAAACAATGCAGTAAACAAATAAAGACCGTGAGAACAAATAGAGATGGAGAATATTATGGTAGATATACTGAGAATGGAAAAGCACCTGGTCTATTTGCGAAGTTTCTTGAAGAGAATGGGATAGTTGCCTAATACACTATGCCTAGTTCTCCATACCAAACTGGTGTGTCAGAAAGAAGAAATTGAACATTATTGGACATAGTGCGAAGTATGTTTAGCAGTTCCAAGCTTCCTAAATCCTTGTGGACTGAAGTTGGTCAATTATTGATATTCCATCAAAATCAACAAGCTTCGATCTTTGTTCATCGTGCATTTTTGCTTCATGTTGCATCAAAGTTCTCTTGTAATAATCAAGAGGGACAAATTCGTATATCAAACATCACACACACACACACACACACACATATATATATATCAAAATCGTGAATTTTTATATTAATCGAACAATTAAGGTCACAGACTGAAGACAATCATTGCATTAGTTCAATTGCTTTTGGTAAAATTTTAGAAATTTAGTATTGAATTGCTATTCAGGTCGTTGAATTAGATCTCAAGAGGCGTCATAATCACAATTGATAGGTGTTAAATTTATATTGTTTCTATATCTTACTACATGATAGTTATTTGAAGCTGTGACTTGAACAATTTGTGTCACATACTAAAGACCATTGTCGCATTAGATCAGAACATTTTGACAAATTTGCAAATTAGCGGTATTGAATTGCTTTTTAGATCTTTGAAATAGATCTCAGAGGCGACGTAGTCACAATTGTTTGGTGTTAAATATATATATTGTGTATGCATCTTATTGCATGATATTTATATATAGAATAGAGGTGATTTGTTTTAATTGTGATTAAAATAATTCCATTGAGTTCATATAAGAGATCAATATGTATATTTTGTTGTTACACCGAAGTAAACTGATTAAAAAACAAAAAAAAAATGATGTAAATAACTATGAAGTAAACTGAGAATTCATTGTGACCATTGTGAAAGTATAGTTATTTGATGATCTCTTTATTAATTCATGGAGCGATTACAAAAGAACTTTGGTATAGCATGTAACATTATGTAGATATTTATTAAAAAAATTTGTGACCAGAATGACATCATTATTTGATTTGAATAGTACCAAAAAGTTATCCACAACTGATATTATGTGACATTAACATTACAATACGATTCTGTAATGGAATCAGGAATGTGTGAACTAATTGTAGCAATATGTGATGAATTCAAAATATAATGTGACCTGTGAAGAATGATCGATGGAGCAAATGTGACCTGAATGACATCATTAAATGATTTTAACAGTACCATGTGGCGAATTGAGAATGTAATGTGACCTATGAAGAATGATCTATGAAGCATATGTGAGTTGAATAACATAATTATATAATCCAAACAATACAAATGTGTGGCCTGTGACTAATACTATGTGATCTAAACATTACAACATGGGTATTGTGGTGTAATTATAAATTTGTCATAGAACTTATTGTTACACATAGGTCCCAAACACGAATTTCCCGCACAACTCCTTTGTACACAAGGTCACAACTCATTTGAATACAAGGTCACATAGGTCACAAACATATATATTGTGCAAAACACAAGATACATTCATTGTACATCACGTAATTGTGTGTTCGTCATATAACTATTATTACACAAAATGTCAATTCGCCATTATAAAATTAGGTCACATACACTAAATATGGTCATTACATTTAAATTTTTAAAAGTATAAAAAAAAGTCATTAACAACTTGCCCATCAAATAGAACATCCATACAAAGTTAGAAACTCTGTTTTATAACCTTTAAAAGGAAGTAGTTCATCAACTCCCTTTTAGGCTAATAAAAATTTAGGGTTTCTTATTAATTAGTTGGATCAACATCCATTATAGAACAATCAAACGTGCACCAATGCAGTCTATTCATCTTAGACTGTCTAAAAATATTATAATCAAGATTAGAACTTATCAAGGCTAAACCCTTTT